CACAGGCCGTAAGAATAACTGATCAACAATCAGGTCTGACTTTAGAGGAATTCACAACAAATCAGGTAAAACCAGCTATGTTTTTTTTTTCCCTGAAGGTACCCAAACGCCTCTTGGAGCAGGTCTGAGGTTATGTGAAACCACCTCTTCATGGCCACAAAGCGCTCCAGATCACTGCAGCCAATCAGTGGATTTGCTTACAGACGTCTCCGTGACAACAGGTGGAATGTGCTTTACTCCTCCGACCTTGAGAAGCTTTTCACTGTTATCAATCACTCCTCCATGCCTGTGTGTGTGTGTTTTCATTATAGTAACAGGGAAAACAAAGTGACTGAAGAGTTTCAGCTCATTCTAGTTTCTGTGAAAGAGATTCTGCCTTCATTTTCAACAAAAATGACTCGCCTCAGCTGAGAGAAAAAAATAATTCTACAAAAGGTTCAGGAATGACTTGTCACACAAGGGAGAGAATTTAGATCTGCACAAAAAATAAAGGGACAAAATGCAAACTAATGGAAACACATCTCACGGAATCTCTGAAAAAGAAATACCACATTTAAAACATTTCACACACACACACACACGGTTTCACAATGTCAGCCTAACACCATTTATTGTTCTCTCATAACTTGGTTTCTGGAGAGGAATTCCTTTCAAACCAGAGTTTACTTTTCCTACTCCTTCGAAGTGACCTTAAACACCTCATTTTTAATCCAGGCTAATCTCCCATCTCTGTCGAGTTGACCCTTGCACATTTTTTCGTGAGCTTTTTAAGCACCAGAACAAGCACATTTATAATAACACATCCTGATAAAAACTCTTGACCAAGTCGTGTAAAAATCGTAAGGAAAAGTAATAAAATAAAAAGTCATGCCAGTTTTAGAATATGTTTGCAGAAGGTTTAGATTTCCCAGCAGTGACATCAGGCAGTCCTTTCCCACACCTCATCCGGCTCCACCCTTCTACTCTACCCTTCCCCTCACGGAGGTGAAATATCCAAAACGGGAAGTGTCCCAGCATGCCCAGTTACAGACCTGGAGAATCACAGAAAAGATGTTCCACTTGTTACAGTAAATTCCCAGAATCAGACGGACCTCTAGTCAGAACGAAGCCACGCCCTTCAGAAAACCTCTACAACATGTTTTAGCCGAGACAGTTTAACAACATCTGCAGGATCAAAATGTAAAAAGTGTTGTGACCGATGACTGGTGAGTTTAAACGCATCAGGAACTAAAGATAAAGTAATGAACACAGATGAACGTGTGAATACCTTGTTCATAAGAGCAAATCACCCCCCTACCAGGGTCTTACTCAACCCACACTTTATTAAAACACGCCAAAAGGAGAAGTCACCTGGCGGACCAAGAGAGTGGACGTGATGCTGACATCTTCAGACTTTCTCCGGAGAAACAACCGGTTAACAACAGCACACGCCAACATTGCAGAGGCTAAGCAGTCAGGAAGTGAGCCTTGATGGCCGCTCTCGTGGTCTGCCTGTATTGGTTTTGTTCTACATGTATGTATGTGCAACCTTGGACAGGCTGTGCTGCAGACACACATTTCTACGCTTCAGGTCTGGGGCATTGACAATAAAGTTGACCGATTCTGAAGCGTTTTCGGAAAGAGGAAAGCGGCTCTGAGATGTGTGGTTTCATATTGGCTCGTGAGTGGCTGAGCCAGCTGGAGATGTGTTGAGTCGGCTGCAGTCCATTCCACGCAGCCACGTAATACGGTACCAGCAACGTCAGTGGGTGCCCATTAGCCGATGGGAATGGCTGATTAAAAAAAATGTATGACAGAGTTTTAACCTGCAGCGGGAGCAATAATGACAGTTTTAGACTGAATTTTAAAATTTTGACTAAGCTGCACTAAAATATAACAATAAAAATATAAAGATAACAGATGAGCCAGTTGAGGTGGCTCGGGCATCTGGGAAGGATGCTTCTTGGACGCTTCCCTGGTGAGGTTTTCCGGGTACATCCGACTGGGAGGAGACCCAAAGGAAAGACCCAGGACACGCTGGAGGGACTAGGTCTCTGCTGGCCAGGGAATGCCTCAGGATTCCCCAAGAAGAGCTGGCCCAAGTAGCTGGAGAGAGGGAAGTCTGGGCCTTCCTGCTTAGGCTGCTGCCCCTGCGACCCGACTCAACGCAAGCAGAAGAAAATGGATGGATGGACTAAAAACCAAAACAACGACTGTTCATGTCTACAGCACTATTAGACACTCATTTATACAGTTGATTTGGGGGTGACTTACTCTTTTAGATAAGGTAAGGTCCAAATTTAAAATAAATATTCTTATATTTTAAAGACTAGAAAGACCACAATTCACTTATTAAAATGTAAATTATTTTTTAAGCGACCAAAAAAAATGTGTGTGTGTGTGTGTGTCTGTCCCACCCAACCAGTCATTTCCTGATGTGGAAAAATAATTAGCCCCTCCCCAAAGCTCCTGGCTGCTGAACGCCCTCTGACCTCGTCTCCATTTCATCACTTTTCAGGCTCAGAGCTTGAAGTCAAACATTTTTCCTCCTCAAATGAAAGACTGAAAATTCAGCAGATCTGAGGAGGAACCAGCCGCTGTGGTCTCAGAACCTTTAGGCCGCCGAGCCTCTGGAACAGACGAGGCGTTGGTTTGGCTGAGACTCATTTAGCTCCATCTCAGATGTTTCAGGTCTTCAGATTAGAGATCAGCCTGAAACACAGCTACTGTTCTGGTGAAAAACAAAAAAAAATAATAACGCACTCTAATCCAGAACAGTTCTGTTCTCTTTATCGGGTTTGCTTGTGGCTACTGAACTGATCTTAAATGTTTTACCGCCATCTTTTAACTCCCTCTGAGGACCAGAGCCACCCAACTGATCCAGACTTCCTAAACTTTGTGTTTTTTTTTTTTTGTAATCACCAAATGCATTCTATTCTTGTTTAATTTTTTTTTTTTTTTTTTTTTTGCTGCACTTTGATCCAAGTTTGACTTAATTTCACACCAAGAAAACCTGCTGGAGAAGATTCAGGAATCTCAAGACACACCTGGATTAGTCTACAGGCAACTACAGGTAGATGATGAAGTCATGTGAAAAGCACTGCAGGTTACTCATAAGAAAGTGACTTGTTGACTGAAGGTAGATCTGTTTAAACACAGAACGAGGCTGCATTCACCGTCAAGACGTGTTCTGAACAGCAGGGTTTGCTTCCATTGAATCTGTGGGTCTGCATCATTTACAGGTGGGCATGTGCACAAATTTAATGTCCGACACTTCACAGGAAACCTCAGGGTTGGGAGTAAAAATGGGATTATGCAGCAGCTGGTGCATTTAAGGATCAACAGAAACCAGACAGCAACTCTGCGGCACAATGTCAATTTTTAAACAATAAACTGGATGCTTATTTTGATTTTAACCCAAATAAACTCATCATTGCTTTCTGTGATCCATTAGACCAGCAAACAAGGAAAAAAAAAAAGGAGCCAGCCCCAAAAAAAGGAGGATGGGGCCCATGGCTTTTGTTTGTTCTTAAACTCTTACAGGACGAGTTGGAGCAAATCTGGTCCTCAGAGGCTCATGAAGATCAGAAGCGTTTGCCTAAAATGATGGATGTTGGGGATGTGCATGGGAGAAACATGAGAAAATATTCTCACAAAAACACAAACAGAAGACTCTGGGAGCTCCTATTGGCTTGCAGGTGGCAGCGAGAGGGGAAAACATCAGGAAAGGTCAATAAGAGGGAATTTTAAAACAAAACGTTCTGTTAAAAAGAGACAAGTCTGATCTAAACATTCTATGATGCTGACAAAGCTTCACCTCCAACATTTGTTCATAAACACACCAGAGAAAACCAAACACTCTTTGAATATCTAAAGAATGCAGCATCATTAAGACTTCAGTCCTGACAGACGTGCATCGACCTGCACTGCCGAGTTTAATCCCCAAAACTCTAGACTGCAGCAACAACCTGGACAGAAAATCTCTAATCCCATTTTACTCATTAAAAACACCTGCAGAATTTGGTTTTCCACCATAAGACTGAAATAAAAATGTCCTTAAAAGCAACAAAATTAAAAAGCCAGATCAGAGAGTCCTCTGGCTGTGGGAAAGCTGCTCAGCAGGACTTTCTATCCAAAACAAGTTAAAGTCCATTTGAAAATGTGTCCTCCTCAACAGTGTTTTAGACAGCAGTCCATGAACGCACCATTCCCTGTGAATGCTGGGAGATGGATCATTTCTTCTGTTAAACTTCTACAGACATTTTTCAAAGACTGACTTATCTTTATGAACCTTGTCATTTTATTAATTTGTCCCATTAGCTGAAATCTTGGCACGTAGGCCAAAACAAGTACAAGATAGTGAAAATGTCTTTTTTTAACTGACACAAGAAATCAAATTAGACGTTTTCTCATAATTTATGTATTTATAATAAAATGATTATCTAATATGTTTAACCAAAGCAAAAAGGAAGCTTCACGTTTATAATAAACCGTCCTGTGTGGAAAGTGTGTGACAAATTGCTTTGATAAAAATTTAAATTTGAATATAAAACCAAAATTACGATGAAAAAAAAAAAAGAGTAAAACTCAAGAGCCAAACATCAAATATATTTAGCTAACTTGGACCTTCAGTTTGGAGAAATGCTCATCATTATTTCCACTTATAAAAGTCTAGCTATTCGAGTAAATCTCTTAAAAAATAAGTTAAAAGTTTATTTTTCTACATGCGATGAGCTTCAGTTCACCATTTATGGTTAAAAAAATCCTGGAGACTGAAGAGAACGCTTGGAAAACAACTCCTGATTGTTGCCTTTATTCCAAACTCCCAAGTAAAGCCTTTGGTTTTAAACGGCAGTCGGAAATGTGGACACATTCGGGTACAAATCCACTAAATGATCAGTGTTGAATGTTAAGATGTTTAGATTTTAAACTTCGGCGTCATTTGCCGTAGTGTGAAGTGCTTAAACCCCCGGATAAAGTCTGACTCTGGAATTTGGACATTTGTTTCGGTTCGGACTCACCTATGGAAACCAGCTTGATGTTCTCCCGCTCCAGAAACTCCAGAGCCACCGACACGTTCTCCAGCTTCATCTGCCTGAAGTTGGGCCTGGAGTGATATTTCCTGTACATGTTCTTCTGGCTCAGGACCTCCAGGAGGGCAATGAGGCGGAGGCCGTCGCCCAGGTCCAGCTGCAGGTCCGCGATCCGTTTATTGACGCACTTCAGGTGCTCGTTGATCCAGCGCGTGAAGGTGTTCTGCTGGATCTTTTTCCACGGAGCGTCCTCCGCCAGGTCCTTCTCGGTGACCGGCATCTTTCACCGCTCCTCTCAGCAATTTTCCTGTAACGGTTCTTGTTCAAACGGAGGCAAATAGTGGTGGAAACTGGGCCGCTGACCGAGCTTTGTCTTCCCGCGGTGCTACCTCGGAGTCGCCTCAACTTGGTTTGAAGTTTTTCCTTCGACTCACCGAGACTTTAAACAACACTGCTGCGTTCATGGTAGCTCGGAATTCTCAGAACTATTCTTATTGGTTCAGACGTCAGCAAATTTTTACCCAGGCTGCCTCGTGGAGGTTTTTGTTGCTCTTAATAAATATGTAGTTGCTTTTTTCTTTTTAAGCTTCTAAATAAAAAAAAATTATGAATCAGATAGTCATTAAACCTTTCAAAAATTCTTTAACATGTTCTCCAAGAGATTTGTGTGAAAGTTACTTTACATTTCCAATTTAAATTGTTTCTAAAATATGTTAATTTAATAATAATCTGCCAGTCTGTTTTTTCCTTGCTTTTTAGGCCAGTCAAGAGCAAGATTCTCCTGGCAAGAGGTCAAAGGTCAAGCTTTATCACTATGCCGCTCACTTTATCAGCAGACAAACTAAAATCATGTCACAGAGTTAGATATTATTTTAATGAGTTAAGTTATGAGACAAATCCCAAAGAATATGAAAGCATTTGACAAATTCTAGGTTTAATAAATTTAGCAGATTATGGTTGATTTACTTTTCACAGTGAAATCTGTTAAAAAATAAATCTTAGATTTTATGTGTGTGTGTAATCCCTTGACATGTTTGGACCTAATAAAGATGAGATCATCCTCCGTCTGAGTGATTGATGGGAGTTTGTATGTCGAGACACTCGGCCTGATGTCTGAGGACAAACACACCCATTCATGTCTGGACCTGAAATCATCTCAGGATTTCTTCATCAAGTCACCAGAACAAATTCTGTGGTTCAGACGGTGACAGATGGTGGAGATGACTAATGACATCAGACGCAACAGGTAAAATATTACAAAGCACCTCTGTACGAGGAGACACAAACAATAAAAGCATAATTATTGTTAAATTTGAAGCAAATCTACGATTTTTCTGTATTTTTCACTGAACGTTGCTGCAGCTAATATGATAAAACAAAAGAAAAACCAGTCACATTAGTGTCAGTCTAAAAATACTAATTTATTCAAAAACACGTGTGACTGCTCGGTTTTAATGACCTTTGCAAGGCAGATGCTTTATTTCAATACATGAAACACTTTAATCAGATTTATAAATTTTTATTTTTTATTTTATAATCACAACTGTTCATCTGTTTTTTTAAAACACCAACTTTGAAGTTAACATAATTTTTTATCCTCTTAAATAAAAAATCGTTTTAATGTAGATTTTTAATTTAATCACCGTTTTACCAAAAACAGATCTATTCTTTGCTCTTTTTTAGTGTAACTAATGTACTGAAAAAAAACATAAGTTACATTAGTTTAGAAAAATATTGACAATTACAACTTTTTGCTCAAGTCCAAAAAAAAAAACTTTTACTATTCCTAAATATTACTTATTTTTTACTGTTTAGTAATATTTTACGGCTAAAAACCAAAGTTTTAAAAAGTCCTCTCTTAACCGGATACACTTGCATCAGAATGAGGTTTTTAAACATGGCTGATGTCTTCCCATTGGCTTAAATCTAGATTATTAAATCTTTCCAGGTAAAAATCTGAGCAGCTTAGAAAAAACTCCCCTAAAGAGAAGAACCACTTCCTGTGTGTGTGATAGAAGAGGCTGGAGGTCGGTGTGGTGGGTCAGCTTGCTACAACTTTAATCCAAATGTTTCTCTGCATATTCATTACATCATTTCCTCTACACATACTCCCACTCCAACCCCTCCCCAATCAGATCTCTAAACAACTTTAACAAAATAAGTCTAGGTGCACATCATTCAATAACATTTTATTTTACAATTCTCTCTGCACTTTAGTGTTTTTTTTTCTCTTTTGTTCGCTGTCATTTATTATTATTATAATTATTATTCTTTTTAAACACTGAGACGAGACAGAGTACACAGACGATGACAAACGCTGCTCAAGAGTCCAAATGTGTGAACCGACAAACACACAGCTCGTTAAGATTAAAGTCCGTTAAAAAAAACATCTTTCAACAGAGGCCTGAAGAGTTTGAGTTGATCCCGTTTAGCTCTTATGTCTACTCTGGAAGAAAACAAAAAAATTCTGACATTTGAAGGGAAAAAGCTTCAAGGAAGACTGAAATGAGCGAAGTCGATGAGTGAGGCACCGAAAACAAACCATTTGGTTCATGTGAGGTGGGATGGATGACAACATTCAGAAAACTGATGAGGGTTGTTTGATCAGGAGTGGTTTTCTGTGATTACTCTGGAGTTATCCTAAGCCTTGCTCATTAACATGGCAGCAGGGGAGAGTCCATTTCACTTTTTCCACTCAGCATTTAAGCTAGTGTGTCCAAACAAAAAGGTCCAGAGGAGTCAATTCATTTCTGACTCTTAAAAATGATAAATGACTCACCCACTCATTTATTTTCACCATCATCCTCTGTGATATTTTAATATATGTCAAGAAAATGTGCTTTTTCTTGCTTTTAAAGCTAAAGGTTGAAAGAAGTGTTACTTTTTTGTCTCATAAGACAATAATCTGAATATTTTTATGTTAAGATTAAAAAACCTTCACACGTTACCAATCAATGTTGGAACAACTGGACTCCAGTTGATGAACAAGGTGAATTGAAGGAACTGAAAAGGTCTAAAAAGACAAAAACATGCCATTAAAGATCACCATCCTTCTAACTCGTAACACCAACAGGCCTCAGTCAAATATTCCAAGTGTGTGAGATCAAGTGGTCACACCTAAACTGTGGTGTTTGTACATCAGAAGCACTTTAAACATGTTTTCTGTGCCCCTAAGCTGAAGAATAAAGGGGAAAAAAATCTACTTTTCTTTTATTTTACTTCAAGTTTCAACCCTGAAAAAGAACGTAAAAAAATAAAAACAGTTCGCCTGGTCTAGTGGAGCAGAAGAGCTCTGAGCAGAACCAGACTTCCCGAAGCCGCCGGCGTTTCCAGCAGACGGTTACTGATGAAGACTAACCAGCAGCCTGGGTTCATGTCTAAACGATGTGGGTGTCCCTTCTCTTGCGTTTGAATGAACAGATGAGTGCTCCGATTAACCTCGGTACTGGTAAATAAAAACTACTTTACCAGAAGAGGAGAAACAGAATATGGAGGACTGAATCATTAAACTCGATGCATGTTTATATAAAGCAGGAAAACACAAAGAGCTGTTTCAACAACCCTGTGTTTAAGATGATGGCTGAATGTTTGACTGTGTGAGGCTGCTGGGAAACATCGAGTGGGTCCGTTTCAACGTCACATCGAGTCGTTTTATTTTTCTGTGTGAAGAAGCTCCCCCTGCTGAAGAACGCTTCTTAACTTGAAGAACAAAAACCCAAATTGCCCAACAACAACTCAGAGAATAAAAACGACAACAAAAATCCTCAGAAAGCAAAATAAACCAGGAAGTATCAGAGTCCTCTGTAGAAACCACAACCTTTATATTCCCTCTACAATTATTTACAATTAGACTTTATACAAGTAAAGCAGTGGTGCCATCCTCACAGCGCTCTGTGGGGTTCAGGTGGAGCTGCTCTTGGAGAAGTTAGGGTAGAGGACAGCGGCCGTCACAGCGACCATCACTGCGATGACCGGCATCCAGGGACTCCAGCCACTCTGTCGGAGAAGCAAACACGCAGAAAAAGAAAAAACAAATTAATCTACAAATCTTTCATCTGAATCAGATTAAAACAATGGCAGTTCTTCCTATGAAGCTACAGGATGAAAACTGTTGCTGTCTCAAACCTCCACCTGGTTTCCTACAGAAGCTTTCAGAAGGAGGATGAGAGGATTAATAATGTAAACAGAATAAGAAACACCCAGAGGTAGAGAAAAATTAATCAGATGAGACAACAGATGATATTTTCTCTTTGGGAATAGTTTTATTAAAAACAAAATAAAAGCACTGATTTCATTTACAAAATGAGATCTGGGTTAAACTTGGAAACTGATCTTTGAGCTTCAGTATAACATGAAACTTTGTTGGGGCTCAGAATGGTCCAGGAGGCCTGAAAATACCCTTCGCCAAGTATGGATCAAGGGTGCAAAAGGGGTGTGGTCAACTTCCGCACTTGAGGATCGAGACACCCTACACACTCTCACCCCTGGACTGGAACAGGCAATTGAAGGGCGCAAGTGTGGTAGTGTGAGTACTGGTATTGGGCCTAGCTTTAGCAGTAGCCATTTAAATTCAATTCAATTAAAAGTTTATTTATATAGCGCCAAATCACGACAATGTAGACAATGGCTATGTAACTCACGCTAGCATTGTTCTGAGGTTAGTATTACCACCACCAATATTTTTATTAGAGATGCACCGAAATGAAAATTCTTGGCTGAAACCAAAAATGAGGAAATCAAGGCCATAAACCGAAACCCCAAAAGGATTATGTCAATAATTAGAACCATAGCATTTATGGCTACGATGTGTACTAACCTCAATGAAATCAAGGCATTGCATTAAATCTATTACAAAACCATGAAAATATTTATTTAGCGCTGACATAACAATGCACAATATAAATTAAAACTAAAAATGTTTCACTTGACCACACTCATGTATACATTAAATAATAATAAGTTATAAATAAATAAAATAAGAAATTATAAATGTAAAGGTTTATAACTCAAATACCTGCTGAGGACTTTAAAATGAACCCTTTATGATCTAAAGTCACAATATTGCGTTTAATGAGCTACAGCTGCAAATATAATCCCTCATGAAGTAATTGCTTCACACCAGAAGATAGTGGAGATGTGAAACTTCAGTTTGAGCAACACTTTGGGTGTTTCTGTTGAAATTTTCAGAGTTTAAGAGGGAAAACCTCCCCCCATCAGGAGACTATCGACTGAGAAGGGAAGAGGAGGTGAGGAGCAAAGCTCACAGAGGGTGAATATTATTATATATTAATGAGGAGAAACTTACAGGTCTGTTCATTGTTGTCAAAGCTCTTTGTCGTAATGGCTGACTCTGATTCTGAGTAAAATTCATCCTCTGATGGAGATCTCATCCACTGAGGAAGAAAGTGGCGCTGCAGCTGAATGCAGCAACAGTCTGTGTGCTTCGTGAGAGTAAACGTGCTTCACACACATGATCCAAAGCTTTTTTTACCGTGTTCAGGACATGGTGGGTGTAGAAAGGTTGGTTAAAAACAAAACTATGACAGACGTAGTGGGAATGTAAAAGAAGAAGAAAAAGCCGGGCAGACGCGGTAGACGTGAAATCGAAAGTAAAGATGCGTCATGATTTATATGAATAGTGATAATAAAACAGCATTACTGTTTTTATGAAGCAAAGTACAAATTTCCACATGAGGGCGGAGCAAGATGAGCTAAAAAGGGGGTTCACCTGACGGCGTTTTATATATTGTTGAAGTTAAAGTGGGTTAGAACATATTAATTTAGGAGTGTGTGTCTAAGCTAAACCAGCTTTTCTCAAAACGAACCGTTTCTCTGGGGCCATTACAACATTACTAATTGATACAGGAAAGCATGATGGAGACAGCTCAGACTTTGGGGTACATCTGACACCCTACGTTGCCTTTACAACAACAACAATGTAAGAGTGATTTTTTTAAGCGACGGTTCAGGTTTTGTTGTCTGGATGAGATTAAACAACCCATGTAAGAATCATGAGTCAGAAAGCAAACTACGACGAGTCGCTGTAAACGGATGGAAATAAATAAATAAAGCGTGTTTCCTAATAACCTCCAGGTATCTGCTGAAAGTCATCCAAGATCCTTCTTCATGAGAACTGATGAAAACAGACGGGCTGAATATGGTTTTTGTCCTTTTGGGACGTGTTCTGTCTTCCATATAATCACAGCTCAGGATCCAGCTCCACTAAAGCTTCATAAAAATCCGCCCGCACCTCTGCGTCTTCCAGGCTCCGCTCATTTATCACGGATATGAGGAATGAATACGACTCAACTCTGTGTCGA